CGGTGAAATTCTTGCACAAACCGTCGGAACACGGGATCACAAACAGACTGAGCAATAGTATGGCGTTTACGGACAGAAACATAAGTGCTATGAACTCCAGTGATGTCAGCGTTTGGCTGGCGCTCAGTTCCGGCTCCAGCTGTCGGGCCTCACGAGTGGCCGCCGGATACGTTTGGGTGATCAGCGCCTTGTCTTTCGCCAACTGATTGACCGGTTGTCCGATGTATGCGATGTTCGCCTCCTTTGCCTTCATGTCCTGTATCTCAACGGTCGTCACATTTATGGATCCGACGCCGTTATGGTTGACCACAAGTGTCCGGACGTCAAGGAGTGGGTCCTTTCTGTAGAGAAGAAAGCGGACCACTTTTAGGTTGGAGTCGACGCTCTTGGGCTGACTGGCCATCAACTGTTTGGGCGAAATGGTGAGCGATATGAGAGCCGCCTTCGTGTCCATCACATCTATGGTTATCGTTGTCTTCGTTATGTCAAACGTCTGCTTAAAGGCCCCGAAGATGAACCGTATTATGTAAGTATAGCCGGCCGTACGAGTCGTGCATTTGTCGCAAACTTTGTCCCAATAATAGAGATCCGGAGGGAAGAGGAAGTACACAATCAGCGCTAGTAAGGCGACGGACAGCCATATAATGGCGGTCACAATCAGCGCTAACTTGTCTTCAATCATATTCAAAGGTATGGCTTATGAGTACAAAATGGTTACCACTTTTGGTTTTATTGATAATTAAAGCAAAAAGAGTTAACAGTTTTTGTACAAAATCTAAAGTGAATTCAAATTAGTGTTTGAATTATAAATACCATTATTGCAAACAATAGTGTATCGATCGTGCAGTAAATGTCTAACGCTTTACACAATTAACAATTAATTGAGTCTTGAATGAATTTATTTGCATTGAAATAAGGCATCAAAAAGCCGTTGAAAAATCGTAAACTCTTTGAAACAACTCTTAATGAACTAATCCTCAAATATGGACTCCATTTGCTATTATCTGTGTTGTTGTGGACTCTGTTGTTATCAGAAGAAGACTTCGGGTAAAAGTGAGAAAAAAGGCGAAAACAAAGCGGCGGTCGTCGGCCTCTTTGCTCCGCCACAGAGAGCGGCGTCAGTGTCTCAACGGTCAGACTCGAAGTCGTCATCGATGGCCGACAATCCGGAGGGTCTTCGGGTGGGCAGCAAATATGTGGTCGTGCGATACGTCGCCGGCGGCTCTTTTGGCCGCTTTTATTTGGGCAAAAACATTGTGACCAACGAAGAGATCGGCATTAAACTGGAGAAACAGGACATCGAGAAGAAACAGTTGCCCTTTGAGTTCCGCTTTTACAAGATGTTGGACGCCGTCGACGGTCCGAGGAGGAAGGGTATACCGCGGATCTATTTCTTCGGTCCGTGCGGTCCGGCCTGGAATTCGCTGGTCATGGATCTGATGGGCCCGAGTCTGGAGAATATACACGACAAGTGCGGATCGAAGTTCTCGCTGAAGACCACGATATTGATTGTGAACCAACTGTTGGACGTCTTCGAGTTCTTCCACAGCAAAGGCCTCATCTATAGGGACACAAAGCCGGAGAACTTTATGTTTGGCCGCTCGGGAACCGATACCTACAATGTGGTCCATATCCTTGACTTAGGCCTCTGTAAGGAGTATTTGGACGACGAGGGAAAGCACATCCCGTATGTCGACGGCAAGGGAGTGACCGGAACCGTACGCTATATGAGCATCAATAATAACAGAGGCAAAGAACAGGGCCGGAGGGACGACATGGAAGCGCTGGGCTATATGTTTGTCTACTTTCTTCGGGGAGAGTTGCCGTGGATAGGAGTGAAGGCCCCGACAGTACAGGCGAAGTACAATCAAATCGCGCGGCTTAAAGAGTCGACAACACCCGAGAAGCTCTGTTGCGATATTCCTCGTGAGTTCGCCCAATACCTGAATGCCGTCAAAGCGCTGGACTTTACGGCCGAACCTAAATATAAGGATTATATTCAGATGTTTAGCAAATTGTATAAAACAAAAGGCTTTAAAGAAGACAACGCCTATGACTTTGACAGAAATCATAACCTGAAGAATAATTCAGTTTTTATTTGATATCAATATTGAGATTAGATATGATTTTTTCTGCAGTCATTTTCATACGCTATCGTCGATACAAATCTCAATCCTTTTTTAAATTTATAAATTTGTTAATAAATAAATAATTTGTAAATTTTGTAATCAAAACATAAATATTTTGATAAAAGTTTTTAAGTTTTTCAATTGACTTTTTTGTTTTGTTATTTGTAAACTAATTATTAGACATAATATTTAACTATTAATGAAATTTGATTTTGTTTGACATTTATTTTTGTCGGCATTTAAATGTGAGACTTGTATTTTGTTATAATAAATGCCAAAAATGAAAATGGTAAATCAATGTTTGCCATACTTTTGTCAATAGAAATTAACAATCAATCGATTATTATATTGTGAATTAGTTTTGCTGTAGTTTTTATATAAAATATATTTCAATTGATTGCAAATTCTTATCCGGGAATACAAAACGAGTCACGAAATTATTTGGTATATTATTTTGAGGACAAAAATAAATTTTTACTCAATTAATTTTGTTGTTTTTAAACTTTTTTGTATGCGAGTGAGCGATTCAGTCTCTCTCTCTCTCTCTCTCTCTCTCTCTCATTTTTTGTTTTAAAAATATTTTTATTATTTTTATGTTTGCCATGAATTCATTATATCTAATGATAGGATTCAATGCCAGTAAATCGGAAATATTATATAAATGTTTTGGAAAAATATTGCTATTTTTCTTTCAAATCAAAGATAATTAAAAACTTTTTTCAAAAGAATTTCTATATTGTCTTTAGTGACTTAATATACCGTATATTTCTCTTCACACGAATCAATATATGGAGAGAGAGAGAGAGAGAGAGAGAGAGAGAGAGAGAGAGAGAGTCTGATAATAAAATAAAAACTAAATAATTTTGTGTATGTTTTTCATAGAGAATGAAGAACTGGTTAACCCTTTTGGGGGAAACTAATATTTATATAAAGTTTTGAGTTGTTTTAAAACATTAATGTTTTCGTAGAAATATTTGCCAACAAATATAATGATGTGTTGTCACCGCAAAGATGTGCATAAATCATAATCCAATGCCATTATATCTTATATAATATATGATTTGTGTTTGATTTAAATCATATCAAATGAATTGATCGCCAATTTTAAAGGTTAGATAATTTTGATAAACAATTTTGTGTTTTTGTTTTTTATTTAAGAAATAAATCATTTGTTTTAATCATATAATACAAGACGGCATTCATTTCATAGTTATTTTTGAATTTAAAATTACTAAAAAATAATAAAATTTTTAAACTTCTGGATAAATATCCGCAAAATATTTCTATGAAAACTATTTCAAACGAATCAAAACAAAATCCAATTAAAAATAAATCACTAAAATATATGCAAATATTTCGCATATTATTCAAATGAAAGTGTTTTTAATTATTTTTGGCCTTAATTTTTCAAACTATTCCGTTATGTAATAATATGTAACAAAAATTTGTGAATACAAAACAATTTAATCATAAATATATTAGACA